CTTTCAACGCGATGCCACTTCTCGTTCTTCTCCTCCTTTTCAACGCCCCTCTCGCCGCTGATCTGAAGCACGCCGCCGTCCTCCACCTCCACTTTGACTTCCTCCTTCTTCAGCCCCGGCAGATCGGCCTTGAAAATGTGGGCCTCTGGGGTCTCTTTCCAATCGACCTGCGTGTTGGCGATTGAGGAGGCTTCGCTGGCGGTGGTGGGTGCCCATATGTCTGACAAGAAGGGGTCGAAGAGGCTCCCGGTGCCGAATACACTTGGAATCAAAGACATTTTGGGTTGGATTTGAATGACGAGTGGCTTATTAGATGAAATTTCTGTTGGTGTGGCGTGTGATGGGGGATGGGAATTTTATAAGGGGTGAGATTGGTAATAAGGAGTTTCGGGGATGTTCTTCGGAGTTCTTTAATGGGTAATTGCTGGCAGTGTTCTTCATCCTTCCACTGCCTTCTCCTACCTTCCTCCCCTGCATGGCCATGGCTTCGAACCCAGAATCATCGAGGAGCTTCTCGCGACTTCCTGCGCAATGGAGGCAGCCCAGCCCAGCTTCTTGGAGTTTGGGCTGTCCGCACCAACCCAGCCCGTTAACCTTTTGCAAATTGGACCTAATTGATCGAGCTTATATGGAAACCTCCTCCTAAAACATGTCAATATCTCAGATTTTTATATGGACCTAATTTTTCTATGAGCTTTGTTGAGTCGAGACATCTAGGAGATAAAACGAATGTCTTTTAAAACCAGAACGCCCAAACTAACGATGTTTTCTATTACATGGAAGGAGGTATAGATGTCTTGAGTTCGATTCACAGGTTGTCAAACCTACATCGACATCTCATTCACGAACACCTCGAGGATGTTTCAGATGAGGCTAATATAAATAGAGGAACCAACACCATCCAAGAGGACACCATTTCGACCAACTATTAATTTAAGTATTGGAGCCACCTCAACTAAGTATTAACTTAAGTATTGGAGCGTGCTAGGTATAGCACCACACAAATAAGATTAGTGTGATTTAAAGAGCCAGAAAGAAGAGGATTTCCTTTTTGAGTTTCCCTTAAGGTTTTAAAACGGGTTGGCTAAGAAAAGTTTTCACAACCTTCTAAGAAATGCTTCTGTTCCCCTCTCTAATCAATGTGAGATCTCACAATCCACTCCGTTGGGGGGCCTAATGTCCTTGCTGGCATACCACCGAGTGACTAACTCTAATACCATTTGTAACAGTGCAAGCTAGGAGTGTCCTTTTTCAGGTTTCCCTTCTAGGCTTTCTCTAAATATTTTAAAAACGCGTTTGTCTGTTAGGAATAAGTTTTCACACTCGAATACTTCGTTCCCATCACAAAAGCCGAAGAAAGTTGAGAATCAAACGAACTCTACCCAACAAAACAAAAGAAACCCCATCAATGTTTGGGCGGACAACCTAATGACTTAAAGTTAACTTTTAGCTAATCACAACGTTAAACTGCTGCTAATTAAACGTCGCCAGTTTGGCTGAGCCCTGTCTCTCATCTCCATTGTTATATATATATATACACTAAGAAGCAAAATCCCATCTCTCTCTCAGGTTGAGAACGTTGAGAAATGGAATCTATGCCCATGTCTCCTCCAGCCATGGATGGCAGAGGCACTCCAATGATGCAGATGAGCTTCTACTGGGGCAAAGATGCTGTGGTTCTATTTTCAGGGTGGCCTAAACAGAGTGTTGGCATGTACATACTGGCCTTCTTCTTCATCTTCCTGCTCGCCTTCGTCATCGAGTTCTTGAGCCGCACGCCGCCAACCAAGCTTCCCAAGAGCCCCGTTGGCAGCGCCTCCATTCAGGCCCTCGTCTATGCTTTCAGGACGGGGTTGGCTTATCTTGTCATGTTGGCTGTTATGTCCTTCAACGTTGGGATGTTTATAGCGGCTGTGGCAGGGCATAGTCTTGGATATTTTGTTGTCAAACTTCGTGCTCTTACTGCTGGAAAGAGGACTGATTGTAATGAAGTTTGAGTGATTGTAGTGTTCTTGAAATGCTTGTTTTTATTCATTTCCTTTATGCTGATCGTATAATCAATCAATATGTGAAATGAAACTTTGGTTAATTCTAGTTGGTTGATGTTAATCTGAAAATGAACAACTTTTTCAAGTTGGCGTAGAGCACCACTTGATTGGGAAAAGGTTAAGGCATCTACCTAGCATTGTTCATTTTGGATGAGATGCAAAAATTCAAAAGCCCAAGTCTACAGCGACAACACCAACAAAAAGATACCAAAATTTACAGAGTCATATGGTCCACTTTTAGCTTTGTTTTAAAACGCATCTGCTAGGGAGGGATTTCCAATACTTTATTCCTCTCTTCAACCGATGTAGAATCTCATAATCCACCCTCTTCCGAGGGCTAACGTTCTCGCTGACACTCGTTTCCCTCTCCAATCGATGGACGCTGGCACTCGTTCCCTTCTCTAATCGATGTGGGATCTCACAATCCACCCGTTCAGGGTCCAACGTTCTTGTGGCACGCCGCCCGGTATCTGACTCTTATATCATTTGTAATAGCCCAAGTCCACCGCTAGTAAGTGTTTTCCACCCCTATAAAGAATGATTTATTCCCCTCTCCACCTGATTTGAGATATCACATTGACGATCATTCTGCGGTTTAGGATGGTGTTTAGAACTCATAAATTGAGTCATTTTCCAAGTTGAAATGCATAGGTTTGAATAGCTAAGTATGATATGGGACATTATTCCTTGTAAGTTGGAGATTATGAACACAGAAAGGTATGCATGACCCACAACTCAAACACGAGATGATGCAATACTTGTGAGGGGACTACTACAACTTGTCATATGCATCATCTGGAGGTTTAATAAATGTTTATGTTACATTTAAAAAATATAATCAATATTTTAAAATAATTATCTTAAATAAATTATATTACCGATTTGCTATATTCACAATTGCTTTTGTGGAAGTTAGTTCAACAACTAGTTGAATAGGATGAGCATATGCCATCATATAACCATCAATACAAGTTTGGAGTAGTTGAGGTTTGTTCATAAATTTTAAGACCTTACTTTTTTTTTTCTTTAAAATTTGATCCAATTATGAAGCATATTTAAAATTAAGTATCAAGATAATCTTAACGTAACAACTCACATGGCATGGTGATGCATGTGATGATCGTCATAGCAACCTAACAAGACTCGGTCTTGCGCTAAATGGAAGCACAAATGATTCTTCTACTTAATTACATCAAACCCATAAATATTATTGGCTTCTATATATATATATATGATAGAAGTGGTGGATCAAACTTCCACCACTTTACTTTCACGTAGAGTCGACCCAAATTCGATTACAATCGGAGTAATGGCGGGGTATGTGTGGCCGACAAATATGTGACAACTCCATGAATTATTTATAGGTGGTCATGTGAGGCAAGATTTGGTGAAGGGATATGGAAGCATGAATGGGTCATAGTTGTAATTAAAATGAGGAAAATGGGAAGAAGGGAACAAAAAGGATGTTAAGTGGAGAAGGAATCAACATCAAAGACAGGCGAGGAGGGCAGGAGAATCGTGATGAAAGCGACTTGGTTCACCGCAAAGTGGGGAGTGGAGTGGTGCTTGTGTGGCGTTGTGTGAGGCGCCCCGCCCCGGCATGCCCGCACGCACGCACGCACGCACTAACAAACCCTAAACGTGGCACGCGAAGAGCGGCAGTGAGCGCGCGCCGTGTCCTTTCCCTTGTAATCTAAGTATAATGTTAAAACATAATTGATAAAGGAATTTGTATTTATTTTGAATACATGATTAATATTGGGAAGATATTTTCTGTCCATAAATAAAAATAAAAATAAAAATAAATCAATAAAAAGCAAAAAGGGTGTAGTGTCAATGAAAACTTCACATGGCCACCACTTGCTTTTCATAGAAACATAATAATGACGCATCTAATAACCCTAAATTCCTATTTCTTCAACTTTTTTTTAAAAAATAAAAATAAAATAAAAATCCAATTGTTCTCAATTATTTAGTTTTTTATATATATATATATTTAATAATTAATTTCCAATTTTAAATAAATATTTAATGTTTTTATTTTACGAGATTATTTTAATTAATGTATTTTAGTATCATTTTAGGGCGAAAATACAAAAATAAAAAAAAATGGAAAATGAATTGAGTTAAAAAGGAACACAAATCTTCTCGGGGCAAGAAAAAGGCAATTTATTCTGTCCCTTCCCAGACGAAATCAAAGAATTCGGCTCCATTTTTATTTAATTTTTTTTATGATTAAAAATATTAAAATTCATAGCTTTTTTTTTTTTTTTTTTTTTTTTTTCTAACGAAGAATAATTTAAATATTAATTTTAGGCGTTGATTTTTTTTTTTTAAATACTACTTCCAACTCACTCAAAATTTAATAATAAAAATTATTAATTTAGTCAAATCAAACTTTCATCAGTCAAAGATTAATCTCTAATCAACTAATTTCTATTGTTTATAAAACCTAAGTTAAATTACAAGGTTTCCTATGCTTGAAAGTCTTTGTAAATGTTTAAATTTTTTAGAAAATTAATTAATATTATAATTATATATTTAAATTTTATTCCAAATAAACTTAATTTTTTTACTTAAATACTTATTTATTTCCAAATAGAAAACCAACAATAATCATTTTTTTTATTAGAGTTCTAATAACCATTTTGAATTAAAAAAATTCATTTAGAACGACTATCTTAACAGTATTAATATAATTAATAAAAATAATTAAATTTATTAAAAAATTATAATCTCTACTTAGGTTATTGATTAATGTACAAAAATTTATAGGAAAAGAATTGAAATATGTGACATGTTTTAAACCATTATATCAAGATGAATATATAAAATAAAACAAAAAATGATTAAATTATATTCATAAATCATACCCCTATCTGCTTTTTAAACTTGTAGATATATTTTTTCAAAAAAGAAAAAGAAAAAGAAAAAGAAAAGGGAAAGTAAAAATTAGTTAATATATTATTTAATTAGTGCAAGGGCCCCACTGGACAAATTAGAATCCTAAACAAAGTTCCTAATCTGCCCCTTCCACAAAATCAACAAAACCAACCCATCCTTAATTAACCCCCTTCTCTTTTGCAGACTTAACAACATAATCAAAACAACAATAAAAACCCAACTTAAACACATCTTTATTTCTTCTAATCTTACTCCTAATCCCAATTAACCAAAAACCCCTTTAAATTTGCCTTTGCTTTCCTGTCTTACCCTTTTCCTATTAAACAAAATACTCTATCCCCCCCCCCCCTAATTAATCTAACACAGCGGTTAGTGATTCTACTTACCCNCCCCCCCTCTTTTTATTCTAATCCAGGTGTTGTCGCTTCAGTAACTCCACTCCTGTGGAAGCCGGATGTCATGGTTTACTTCCGGCGCCGGCGCCCGGAGGCTCTCATTCCGAAGCCTCGCAGTGACATCTGAGATTAAGGAGAATAAACAGCAAGATAAGTAAAAATGGTGAAAATAAAATGGGGTTTGAAGAAATGAGGGTTTTCAGAGATGACCCTTTTTCTTACCGTTGTTCTTAACTGCGATGGAAACTGGAGGGGGACGGGATTGAAGCTGCTGGGGCTGGACACGCTGCACGTACATGTCGTCTAAGTTGAGATTTAGAGCCTGCATCACTCTAGCAGGAACAAGAACAGTCGAACATGCTGTGGAGGAAAATAATCTGATGTTAAAATGGGGAAAAAGAACTCGGTGAATCTGGGATTCAATGGGAAAGTGAGTTGTTACAAGACCTGGCTTCTTGCGATTTTCGGAGACGGTGCCACTTTGTTGTCGTGGCAAAAACACCCCTGTACCGGCGCATTCCCTTTTCCCGCCGGGAGCCCCGAGAAACACCGCTCTCATGACGGAGCCGTTCGGCGGGGGGTTCACAGAGTGTTTCCGTGGAGGAGGAGCCCAAGTCGTTTGGATCGTTAAGCCAGATGAAGAGCGACAGTTTCTGCCATTGACGAACTCAGTATTTCTTCCCTTGTTCTGCGGCACTTGCGGCTGATATTGACCAGCAGCGCATTTTGTCTGTCCCATACGAGCCACCGTGTTTATTTGCTGAATAAGCTGTTGTCGTCTCAGATTCAGAAACTGTATAAAGACAAAATCCCATAAGAGACAAAGCAGAGAGACGAATGAAACCTCCACGAAATCAAACGTTGTACTAGTAGTACTTACTTCGGAAGCCTGCAGCTGTTGGTAAACTACGGCGTCGGCCTCGAGGTTTTTGAGAGGAACGGAGACTGGAACGGGCTTTCTAGGTGGAGCGAGAGGTCGACTAGTGTTGATAAAACCGTATGATTCTTCATTCATGCGCATCTTCGTGACTTCACCGGCAGCGGCGTGGAGTAGATCCAAAGTGAGTTGAGGATGAGACGCTTGGAAATGGCCATTGGGACTTCCCCTGCTAGAGCCCTGTTTGCAGCCGCACCCACTTCCCACAGAGCACAGAGTTGACTGTGGTGAACCAGAAAATCCCCAACCCTGTCAAAAAAGAAAACCCACAAATCAGAAAGAGTAGCAAAAACAGGGGACGAGAAATTTAGAAACCAAATACATAATCCAACACATACATGAGAGTAGTCGAGGCCAAAACCATCTTCCAGAGTGGAACGCGCCATTTGATGGGTCAATCCAGCGATGTATTCCTCCTCGTCACTCTCTGTTTCGCTGGAACCAACCAGAGATTCAACCGGCGAACTAAGATCAGAAGTAACCCCAAAAGCCCCCAATCCAAGAGGAAACTCAAAAGGGTACAACCCAACCCCAGCTCTCCCATTCTTAACATCACTACCCTCAAGGAACAAGTCGTCGTCGTTAAGGAACTTAGGAGGAAGCCAAAACTCCCCATCGTCTAAACTATCAGCCATTTCAGAAAGCCAAAAAAAAAACTCCACCAAAAAGAAAGAGAGAGCACTCAAAGCAGAGAGTATATTTGGGATTATGTTTTGCGGCTTGGTTAAGGTTTTAATAATAACAAGAAGAAGGAAGCAGAGAGAGTATGAATAGGGTTTGAAGGAAGTTGAGTGGCGCCCAGCCAAGCCAAAAGGGCCCCAGTCAAAACAGAGGAAATGGGGCGGAATTGCTAAAGGGCTCACAGTGGTTGGAGCCCCAAAAGAAGGAAAGTGAACTGGATGTGATTCAGAGAGAAGGAGAGCGACTGGGATGGGACCGTATTTGAAGAGGAGAATATAACATAACAATAAGAAGGAGCGGAAAAAGCCAGAAAATACAGAGAGAAACAAAGAAGGAAGAAGAAGGGTCGGAAGGGAATTCCTCGGAATACGTTTTAAAAGCAGAGGAAGTGGAAAAGTTCATAAAAACAGAGGCTGAGGCCTCACGCGCGTCTGTATGGAGCGTGGTGGATACTCGCTGGCGTTAGTGGGACGACGGTTTCCTTCGTGGCCGGGCAAGTTATGGTCCATTTAGAAGCAGTTTTGTGGGGCCCACTCTAGCAAATGGATGCCACTCGCTCCACCATGTGACTAGCTTCCTTATTACGGGTTTTTTTAAAAAATATATATAAACAATAATAGTAAGAAAATAATTAATAATTAATTGTTATTATTTTTATTTTTATTTTTTTTAAAAAAAAAAGAGCAGAACGGTGCGTTTAGTAGAAGAGAGTGGATATCCCCAACAAAACCGCATTTTAAGTCAGCGACTTCTAAATTAATAAGATAATTTAAACATATATTTAATTTAACTTTATATACATAATCCTCATCCATTATGTTCTTTCTACAAAATATTAATAATAACAAAAATTACTTAGTGATTAAGTAAGATTTTAGTGGGTTTGTATCGTTAATGTGTTTGGTATTGACATTTGTTTTTGAATTTTGTTTACTTACCGATAGTTAATGAAAAATCAATCATATAAACTAAAATAATTAATTATACAAAAATTTAGATACAAGAAATGGAAGGTAATAAGAAAATGGATGCGAGAAAATTAAACAAAAGTTAATAAAGGAGCCGTCAAATTAGTGGGTAAACGGCATAACGTTTCAGATACATATAGAAAGACGTTTTTGCCTCCATATAGCGTGCAAAATGTGTTTGTATCAAAATGTGTTTCAAGTATACGTATAGAATGACGTTTTTGCCCCCATATAACGTGCAATGCGTTTATGTTCTAGTGATAAGAACGTGATATAATTCAATTAAAACAAACGCGTTTAATTAATTGACTTTTAAATTTTTTAGAAAATTTTATTGACAAACTTTTAGTTTAAAAAGATTTTCAAATATGGTAATCCGTTTCAAATAAATATTTTTAAAGAAAAAATATAAAGAATACATAATTATAGAATTATTTTAAAATTAGTAGAAATTTTGATAAAAACACCAAAAAAAATTAAAAACAGTTAAAATTTAATATAAAATTGTTGTTGTATATTTAATCGTCACATTTTTCTCTATTTTAAATTTAAATAGATAAAATAAAATTACTTTAAAAAAAAACCCCTCTTCTCCCTTCAAAAATTACCGTAGTAAAAACAATGAAAAAGGGGGTAAAAAAGAGTAGTAGCCACGTTGGCATATTAATTACACGGGAAAGAATTTATGAATATCATGAATAAATGATGAATATTACAGGACACGTGTAGTACTCAGCATTCCCTTGAAAAAATTCTGTACCAACTTAAATATTTTCTACTTTCCCAACTTTACCCCTGCCCCGGTCAAACCCACTACAGTTATTTGTTCTCCACGTCATCACAAAAAAATAAATACTACACACATACTAACCCAGAAAAATAACAACAACAAAAAATAATAATAAAAACGAAATCTTAAGGTGGGGGGAAAACAGCCGGCGTGGGACGGCGGAATATAATCGGCTCCGTCGTGGACACCAATACTAATCCATCAACTAAATTTGAATTATTATGCTGACGTCCGAGAATTAAATTATTACAGCTATTATTAAGATTTTTAAAATACAAAAAAGAAAATAAAGTAGATGACGTGGCGAAGACGTGGGAACCTGGGGTTAAAGGTCGCAGTCGTTTGAAATTGTTTCCCACCGCCATTTCGGCGCGTGAACTGAATGAAAAGGACGAAGTGGGTCCGACCGGTCGGCATGGTGCTCTCTGATTTTCTGCGTGTCTCTGTAGTCTGTCCCGGTCGACCCAGTGATTTCAAAAAGTAATTAAATCAATTACTAATTAATAAAAATCAGAAGAAAAAAAAAAAACAAAAAAAAAAGGGTTTTGGATTTTCTTTTTTCTCATTTAACCGCACCGAAAGAGATTTATGATTTTATTTATATTTTACCGCTTCAATTTTTATCTCTCTGCTAATATTACGTTAATTTAATTTATTAATATTATTATCAATAAAAAAAAAATATTAATAGAACTTAAAACAAAGTCAAAAGTCAACAACTTAGTTATATATTCTCCTTTGACATTCACATTGTCAACCATTTTTAAGTTGTTTGTGTTGTGGATGACTTCGCCGCCGTCGCCGCCCATAAAACAGAGGATGCCGGCGGCCGACTAAGAGGAAACCAGAGCATGCAGATTTATGTTATAAAAAAAAGAAAATTAATGTCACAGCCGCTTTGGTTCTGTCGTTTTTGGTAACTTAAATGATGAATAAATTAAGGAAAGACATTAATGAGCAGCATACCAACAACGTGCCCCCCATTTATTCTTGCACTCGGGATGGTGATGTGAGGCCATGATTATGGGTAGCATGTTTGAATGATAAGGGGGTGAGAAGAAAAATTTATAATCTATAAAATCAAATAATTACTATAATCATGGGATGCCACCAAAATTTATATCTCTAATTTGTCCCCTAATTATGTTAGATTTATGTAATTTGTAATTATTGAGATTTAAAGGGGACAGCATGTTGTGTTGTGTGTTAATCCTACATCAAATTATGTTGTCAATTCTTTCTTTTTTGATGCTTACGTTTGACGCTGTCGTTCTATAAAAACACATAAAAGATTTAATGAAAATTATTTAATATTTTCCAGGTCATATAATTAAAGGTGGGGGCTACAAAAACAACATAATTATAATTATTAATGGCTTCATCATAAACAGTGATTTTTTTTCAATTTAATTTAATTTGATTTCAAATTTTGTAAACCAGCTGTTAATTAAGTTTCGGAATTGCGGCCGTGAGTGGCGGAGGAGAGGCAGTGGTGTCCAGGTGGCGGAGGAGAGGCAGTGGTGTCCAGGTGGCGGAGGGTTAATTTTGTTTTCCACCGCCACCACCATGGAGGAGAGAGAGAGAGAGAGAGAGAGAGAGAGAGAAACCCTAAATTGGTGGTAGAGGTAATAATTTAGGGTTTTTGAGTGAGCCTTAAGATTGTCCAAGCTTAGCTAGATATAATAATTTCTTTTTCATGTATATCTGCTTTTTCCCCCACTTTTTAGGGTTTAAAAAATAAAACTAAATAATTTTTAATTATATTTTCATTGGGCTAATATTTTAATCCTATACTTTCATTAAATATAATATTTATTGTTATTAGCATTCTTTGTTATTATTGTTTAATCAATCAATTTCATAAAAATTATCTCTACAAAACTCTTAATTTAAGATTTATTTAAATTATATGCTAAATTAAATGGCACAGAATCCCAAGTTTATGAATAAAATTAATAGTTTATCCACAATTTTATTAATAAAATAAAACTTAATTTTTTTTATAATGTGTTAAATAAGCCCTTCACCTTTAAAATATTTATTTATTATTTAAAATTTTATATTTATGTGTTTATTAAATTATTAAATTTATAAAAGTGTCTAAATAAATTTTTCGTACAATTTTAATTTTGAGATTAACTCAATTAAAGTTAAAATTTTAAAATTTTATTATACATGAAATAAAATTTTGTGTAAAATAGATTCTTCAAATTTAAAAAATAATCATTTATATATTGAGAATTATTAAATAATAAAAAATTCACTGACCCTATTGAGGTAAAAATAAAAAAAAAATTAAATCCAGTAGATTAGTCTAACAATTTTATAAGATATGAAGATCGAATTATCGATCTTTAAAATAATTATAACAATTCAAGCCCACCGTTAGTAGAAATATATGCTTTGACCCTTTCATATCGTTGTCAGCCTCACAGTTATAAAACGTGTTTATTAGACAAAGGTTTCTACACTCTTATAAATAATGTTTTGTTTCTTTCTCAAACTAATGCAATATCACATAATCCATTCTTTGGGGCCCAACGTCTTCACCAGCATATCGTACAGTGCCCGACTCTAATACCGCTTGTAATAGCTCAAACTCACTGCTAGTAGTCATTAGCTTCACGATTTTAAAATGTGTCGATTATGAAGAGATTTCTATACTTTTGTAAATAATATTTTGTTTCACTTTCTAATCGATGTGAAATCTGACAATCATAATTAATATATTATCTACTGAAAAGTACTTAAATCGAGAATCGGTATGAAAAGAAGTATGTGGATATTAAATAAATAAATAAATAAAAAGAAGAGAGAGAGGTTGGGTTGGGTAGTTAAAAGCAGCTTCTATTCTCTTTATGTTGTTTTCAAGTTCACTTTATAATTGCAAGAAAATCTTTTTGTTGGGACCAAATGAATGGGATTTTGGTTCCCTATCCAATGATTTCATGTAATGTCAAAATATTCTCTCTTTTTTCTTCTCCTTTTCCTTTATAACTTCTTAAAATCCACACCCTTTCACATGCGTCGGGATGCCCTCCCACGCCTAACTTTGTTCTTCGTTTCGATTAGGTCATGTTTTTATACGTTATATTTGAGAAATCAAAATAATTGTTCAAAAGTATAGTCTTTTCGGCAGGTTCGACCTAACTCACTTATGAATCTGTTTGAAATGACTGACTTAAACCAATTTAAATAACGAGTAAAAAACACAAAAGATAATGCTAACGTTGTCTAGGTCTAGTGTGGAAATAAAGACGTGGGTTATGGGATTGCCCTAAAGGTGTTCGACAAAAATCCCCAATCGAAAATTCCCTTGCCTCTCTTTCCCTTAGCAATCCCCAACCCTCACCCTTTCATTTCCAAATGACATTCATCTATCAACCATATAATTTCCCCCCTCTATTTCGCCCCTCTTTCAAATTGGAAACTAGGGAATGTATCTTGGTCGTCAACAGAGTCTGCTCGACCATGGAAGAAGGTTGTCGATGTTACTGTTATGCATGTTCAAGACGTGTTGTTTATGACTGTATATTGGGTGTCTCAGTCATGCTTGTCTAGGACATGTTGTCTATGGCTACTCCAAACCCCTTTCATATGCTTTCATCTTAGATTGGTTTTTACTCTTTCATGATGTGTCTATACTTAAGTGTTCGCCAAGGTTAAAATGCCCCAAAACATATAATTGGAGCATGCAACTAGTCATCAATTACTCGTACTCTGAGTTATATGTTATTTAACTCGTTGTATTATTATTATTATTATTATTATTTTGTTTATAGCCATATAACGTTATTTTCAATCTCTCTTTCGAAAATCTCTTTACCTCATTTTCTAAAACCTTATTCTCAAAACGGAATCAGAGTCAGAGTCTTGAGCATACATTGCTTGACTCCGCTCGATATTGAAAGTAAGTGTTGCACACTTGTAAAAGTCCGTTGTCAGAAAAAGTGCGATTGTAACAGTTGAGTATAAGGTAAAAACACAGCGGAAAGAGATTAAAGAAGTATGAAAAAAAAAAAGGAAAAAGTGGGAGGGAGCATGTGGCTTGATTAGCGGGAAAAGGGTTGGGGATGGGCTAGTTGTTGTGTCGTTTAGCTGTCGATATTGGTGTGTTTTAGCATATTCTTATTCCAAAACTTTGACCATCTGTCCCCCCACCCTCCTCTCTTTCTATTCCAATTCCACACCTTATAATAATCTTGCTCTGTTCCAATGTAAGCACAAGCCCACTTTCACAACAAAATTAAGTAGCCCAATGTGGACGAGGTCTCCCCTAGTAAGCCTGGCGAGGTGTAAGCAATGTTTTGTTTCTCTCTTCAACTAACATGAGATCTTACAATCCACTCTCTTGTAAACCTAATGTTCTTGTTGTCATACTGTTCGATGTCTAACTCTAATATCATCTTTAACAGCTTAAACCCATCACTAGTGATATTGTCCTCTATGGAATTTACCTTTCGAGTTTCCACTCAAGGTTCTTAAAACACTCTACTATAGATAGAGTCTAGCCCTACTACGACCAGTTACTTGTACCGTACGAAAACCTAGCTCTTATACAATTTGTAACAACCCAAGTCGGGATAGTGGGCTTGAATTGTTACAAATGGTATCTAGACAGCGAGGACGTTGGCCCCAAAGAAGAGGGTAGATTGTGAGATCCAACGTCCGAGGGAACTGTTGTATATGGAGCCTAATGCCTAGATCTGGGATAGATATATTTAAAAGATATTTCGTAAAGATGATATAGATATATAGTAGACATTTAGTAAGGATTTGATAGAGATATATTTATTAAATTATATCTAGTTTAAATCTTTGAAGCTATATTTAGTACATTAAAACTATATATATATATACTTATTAAGCCGTGCTCTCAAAATGTACTCCTTCTCAATGCACTCATTTTCATTCTCAGTATTCTCTCTCTAAGAATCATGATATAAAATATTCAGCCAATACTCCTTCCTGTATTTTCTCACTGTTCTTTCTTTATGCTCAACTTGATCGAGTGTATGAGTTATTAAGCGATCCTAACAATTAGTATCAGAGCTAACAATTGGTATCGATCCTAACCGTAACCGAAACAAAGGGTGTAAAAAGGACTAACATTCAATTCATTACTGATATAAAGGACTAACATTTAGTTTCAAAATTTCCAATTAGCTTCCATAAATGCAACAATCTCATGTTTAGGAGGCAGAATCTCCTTCACCACGCCATGCTTAGCAAATTCTTCACTCCATTTCATCAAATTAGGGAACTTATTAACTCTCAGCACCTCAAACCCAAAGCATTCTTCAATGGCAGGAACCCATCCCACGATCACACTCCCAACAACATCCACAAACCCAACCCTCTCCCCTCCAAACAACGTCCTGCTTCCAAGCTCTTTCTCAAGCGCTCCCAATGCCTCCCCTGCCTCCTCCACAGCCTTCTCTCTCTCTTCTCCTTTGCTTCCAGCAGCCTTCACTACCGCCACCACAACCTGATTCAAAACCCAAAACAGAGCTTCAAATTTCACACCCATTTACCCAAAAACTGATGAATTTGCGTACCTTGTCATCGATGAACTTAGCCCAGAATCTGGCAACAGCTCTGTCATGGGGATGTTGAGGCAATAATGGGTTTGTTTTCCAATTTTCATCGATGTACTCGAGGATTACAAGAGACTCTGAAATGGGTTTTCCATTGTGGACAAGAACAGGGACCTTTTTGTGAATTGGGTTGTATTGGAGAAGCAAATGGCTCTTGTTGTGGGGCAAATCTTCCTCGAAGTATTGGTATTCGATGCCTTTGAGTTTGAGAGCTAGCTCCACTCTGCGACTGAAGGCACTTTCCCAGAAACCGAACACTTGAAGCTGTTCTGCCATTTCTTTGTTCTTGCAATTTCGTGCCTGTTTCGATTGGAGCGGTTTAATTTAAATATTGTGAAGAATATACATTAGTATAATGCCAAAAGTCAAGATTTGTTTCGGTTTCTTGGGGCGGAGGTTATGGGTGCCGTCAGCCGTTACGTAAGCGGTGAAATAGTCGCCGGCAGCCGCTATGGGATTGTCGCGGTCGGGGTAGTGAGTTCTTGCCATTTCAATGGTCGTGATCATTGACTCGTTTCCCGAGGTGACATCGAGATTTGATTGGTGTTTATTGATGGACCAAAATGGTTCATTTTTTTTCAAACATTGACGATTGAGGATTTAATTAATGTATGATGCGACCATTAACATTGTTGCAAGGAAGTTAAAAGAGAGGGGAGCTTACCATTTATTTCTATTAGCGTTGTGAGCTTGTTGTAATCGGTCCAATAAGAAAGAATTCCGTATTCTTGCTTCTTCCTTCTTCCTCTTCTCGTTCTACCGTTCAAAACAAGGTTGTATGGAGTTTCCCTCTGTTCGTGCACGGTTCTTACTTCTCCCTTCGATTTCCCCGTTTTATCATTCAAAATAAGGTTGTATGGAGTATAGCTAGGTAGTAAGTCATCGTAGTCAACTCAACAAAAAAGATCCCTATGTTCATGCCCGGCTCTCGCTCCTTCCTTCTCCCTCTCCTTCTTCCACCATCCAAGACAAGGCCATATGGAATATAGCCGAGTAGTAAGGCATCAATATTTGGGACCGACATGCATTTGTTCGAATCCTTTTTAAGCCAGGTTATGAACATCCGATCCAATTTATCAAGAATGAGCTAACTGCATAAATTCAAGTCAGCCAACCCACAACCCACGTAATTGAACGCAGACCTTTTTTAAAAATTAACTAAAATGTGCCCGTTTTATATTATTTTTTTGTTGAACGTTGCCGAATATCAAACCTCCAAAAATAATAAAGACAGTATCAATAATAACCCAAGTTTAGGTGACGGATCTACTCAAGAGACAAGAGAGTAAACACCCTACACTCGCGTAATAAGACATCAAAAAGTATAATCGTGACACCATCCAAACAACCTAAGTGAGAATCGAGCCGAATGGTCGTTATTTGACATCGCTTTCGTTACATACAACCAACCACAAACATAAAGTGTTCATGATGACACGACAAAGGTAAAGTATTATTCATTTATCACAATCCATATCTGCTTAAGAAAAGAAGCCAATCTCTAGTTACTGCTTAGAACAGTTCGCAAATAAGCCACGAGCTTATCTTTTGGCGGCAGAATCTGTTTCACCACGCCATGATTCACAACCTCTTCACTCCATTGCTTCACATTCGGAAACCTGTTACTTCCCAGCATCTGAATCCCAACAGCTTCATCAATGGCAGGAACCCAGTAAGCTACCACAATGCCAACAACATCCACAAACCCAATCTTCTCTCCCCCGAAGAACCTCTTGCTTCCAAGCTCCTTCTCAAGCGGTTCCAACGCCTCCCCTGCTTCCTCGAAGCCCTTTTCCCTGTCTTCAATTTTGGCTTTCCCAGCCTTCAGCATCGCAGCCACAACCTGAAACCCCACAAAATTCAAGCATTACAATGAATTACGGCATTTTCATTCAACAATTCTCTCAAATTAACCCACCTTGTCCTCAATATACTTAGCCCAAAACCTAGCCAGAGCTCGTTCGTACGGATTTTGGGGCAACAGGGGGTTGTTTTTCCAGATTTCATCGATGTATTCGAGGATCACAAGAGACTCAGAAATGGGTTTTCCATGGTGGACGAGGACAGGAACCTTCTTGTGAATTGGGTTGTATTGGAGGAGCAAATGGCTCTTGTTGTGGGGCAAATCTTCCTCGACGTGTTGGTATTCGACGCCTTTGAGCTTCAGAGCAAGCTCCACTCTGCGGCTGAAGGGGCTTGCCCAGAAACCGAAGACCTGCAACTCTTCCGCCATTTATTGTCTCTGTAAAACACTCAGAAGCTTGGTGGTAATGATGGGCAGTGGGTTATGCTGCGTGTTATTTATTTAGGCAGAGAAAGTGGAGTTTGTCGCTGAAGAAAGGTCTATATTGGTGTCGTAAGCGGCTATGTAAGCGCTGGGAACGGTCGTAAGCACTCATGTTATGTTGATATGGTGGGACAACTTTTTAATTTTTAAATTTACTATTTTTAATCTCTAATTTTTATTTTTACCATATTGCTTTGTTCTATATTCATATATATATTTTTAACCTCAAATTAAAATGTCCATAATTAAAATAATTTTTTAAACACTATACTAAGATATTAGCTAAATTAATAAAAAAAATAACTCTATTTTCTTTCAAAAATATATTTAAAAATTAAAAACAATTACCCTTAAACTAAAAAAAATTACAAATATATATATATTTTTTAATTTTGGATGAAACAATAATAACTTATTAAAAATATTCTTGTCAAAAGTGTTTCAAAATTAATTAAAAAAATTGCCTTAAACTAAAAAAAAATTACAACAGTTAATAACTTATTTTAAAAATATTCTTAGGAAAGTGTTTCAAAAATAATAAATATTTATAGTTAATAACCTAAACTATAAATATTTTTTAAAAGTATTATCAAAACATTTAGAAAATTTAGAAAGTTGCTTAAAATATATAATAAATTTATTTATTTTCCGAAGGAGGGGTTGTGGACCATATTCTTGACAACCTAACCTTAAATTAATTTATTCAATCATCGTTACCAAGGGTTTTCCCTATAGAAAATTATATCCTCGATTTAATAAATATAAAATTAATTAACCTATGCCACCTCAGTCTAAAATAGGACACTAAAGCTAAAGCGTCTAATTGAGTATCATAACTGGAAGCTAATTTAATATGCGATTAAATGATATATTTCTACATGTTCACATCCATATGATTTTCTCCTTCCCTGGTCGAAGAGGACTCGACTCTTAGTTAGTACCCCTTGGTTTCGGGCGGCCCATTCAAATCAAAATCGAATGAGCACCTACGACTAAGGAGAATGGAATGTCGACTACGGGGTAATCAATGTCCTTAAAGGACGAAGTTAGAGTCCTTTGAAAACCCTACAATCCATCTCCAAATGCACCTTCACTTCAATAACCCCACTTCCCCTTTCCGCCGCCGCCGCCGCCTCACTTCCTCCAAATCAACTCCGGTCGTCACCAGAGCCGCCATTTTAAGAAATGGACTGAAACTTTTGAGACAAACTATTTTTATTTATTGCCATCTTGAACATATCCCAAACTTGTCCTACAAGAAATGGACTGAAATTCAAAACAAATTATTGAGCAGATGGAAGCCAAGTCAATTACTTCAGTAACGTCCAATAATTCATAAGCCATCATTCCTACATGGATCGACCTAAAGAGACCACAAACATTCAAAAATTCATAATCTTTGGCGAACTCCATTTCCAACCTTTAATCAGTTCAGTTCAATCAAATCTCTCACTGATGTGAGCAACTTCATAGAATTCATCACTTCTTACCTTCCCAATAATTTTCAGACCTTATATACTCAATTCCTGTCTAACAAATCATTGTCTTGAATCATCCAACTCTCATGTATTCCCAGCTATTCCTATGACCATCAAACACTTCCAAACAATCTCAAAAGCAGTCATCAAAAGACCTAAAATGAGTAGGAACCTTACGTAAAGAGACTCCGACAAGGTTCCAACAACAACTAAGAATTCGAACAAAGAAAGACACAGATGATATTCCATAAGGCCATCATCTTACATTGCTGCTCAATTCACACACAACCAATGAATTTGCTTTTGACTTTCCCAAAATGCCTCATACCAATGGAAATGTATTTCTTACTTATAACCCATGATCATCCCTTTAATTAGCTAATGTGAGACCCCTCCCAAGAGTCCTCAACATCTTGTTCATTAATGTAGGTTTAGATGTTGATAAAATTGAATAGGTGAACGGAAAAACCACCTCTATCATGAACAGACAAAATATAAAATAACCAATCATGTTATCCCACAAGTAAGCACTCAAATTCCTCACCAATTATAGTGATCTATATCTGGCAAGCGTCAGGCATCACATAAAAAAGGATTCAGAGTTGTGCTAAATTAAAACTAACGAGTAGTCAGAATTATCTTTAGATCTCTATGGCAACGAACACTGTAGCTTCGAGTCGCCCTGAAATAGAGAGTTGGAAATTGGAAGGGGCAAACGAAAAAGAGTCAGAAAAGAGATGAAATATCCAATAAATGAGTTATAAAGAACCAAAAAAGGAAAACGTGTCAAGTTAAGACTTCTAAGATAATCTATAAAGTTGCACTTGTGTAGCCATTAGAGCACCAGATGAGCACTGGCATTCAGACTTCATAGATGTATTAAAGCTTTTCACATCACAAAAAGCTCATGGAATTAATTACCATTTCAAGAACATGTCCATTCACGTCAAGTACCTATATATATCTGTTATGAGAGTAGAAATGCAGAATGCAATCGATCATCTCCGTTATCTGTGCTTCATTTACTTATTTCTTGCTTTCATTATTTTATTCATTTTCTCATATATAATGAATTCAGTTTCATACAAGCTCTAAGGTCGAGAAGGCATTTCAGATGACCCGAAGAATCAGGCTATACGTACTATACATAAGCAACATCCATTAAGGATGGAAAAAAAAAATGCTACACTGAATCCCCAGTTCCCAGCGACATTATTAAGAACAAGAGTATGCAACTGAGGTAGGAGAATCATACCTTTCCATTATATAGTCATCAAAGGAGATTCCAGGGATGTTCATCAGCTGGAACAATGTTACAAGAAACTTCAGGTACTAAGTTGCTGACAAAGTTTGGGCCCTCTTAACACCAAAAAGTTTCATTCATGTTCGAACCGTTTTCAAACTCGAGCTTGTGGTCATAGACAAAAAGCAAAAGGATAAAAAAGGACTTAGGAAACTTAGACATGAGAGTTGCTTTACTTCCCTCTTATCCACGATTCCTGGCAGTAGAGACGAGCTGTACAGGTGGGAGAGGGTAAAACTAACTAATCACAAAGCAAAGTACAGATCCAGTAAACCCCAAAAGCTTCTCCAGTGGGCTTAAGAAAACGCCTCCCATCAGTGCGCATATATATAATTCAGATCAATTCTTGTAGTATGAAGGGATCGCATAAACAATCCTTGTTGACGTCGATCATATCAGCTGGAGGCTAGTCTACTATTAGTCACTTCAAACTGAATGTCTCTCATAAACGCCCCATTTGCATCTGAGAACCATTTAATCTTCCAGCCGAATCTCCCATTGCTCTAACACTGCCATTCTCCAATCCACTTTTCAGCCAAGCAAGGTTACTTATGTCAGTTGCAATTGCAGCTAGTTCAAAACTGGGAAAGGATAGTGGAGGCTCTGAGAAGTCCACAAATTCTGGACCTAATAAAGAGTCTAGAGGAGATCCCTGGTTATGACTCTGGCAACAACCATGACCACATTGATGAGGCACTGATCGATCACCATACACACCTTCAAGCAATTTGCTAGCTTCAACTTCTGGTTTTGATGCTTGAATCAATGGCCCCTGCATTGGGACAGGTCGTATAAATGCCCTCAAAGATGCTTGGTCATCCAAAGGGTTATATACACTAAAAGCACTTACTCGAGCCACGGGCCTGTAAAGAGTAGGCTGTTCTTTTACTTCATGAGTAAATTGACCCTCACTAGCAATAGGGACTTTGTCTTCAAATTGATCGTCCATATGCTCCCGTGAGCTGGCGTCTTTTCCTTCAAAGGATTTAAAGGAATTTACATCCCCACATGAAAGGGTTTCTTCAGATGATCCCTTGGTTTTTTCTAAACTAGCATCATCCACTACATTCCCTGATTCTAACTTGATTCTTTCAAGCTCTGTGCATCGACGTCGTAAAGTGGAATTCCAGTGGTTCTTTATAGCATTATCTGTTCTCCCACGCAAAAGTCTAGCAATTGCTGCCCATTTATTTCCATGTACAGCATGGGCTGCTACAATGATCCTGTCCTCCTCATCTGAAAACACATGGATCTTTAAGCCACTTTCAGAAATAAAATTGCATATTTTTACCCACCATTAAAACATAACACGACAAGGATCAATTATCCCAATGCATATTTTTACCCACCATTGGAAGCATTGATATACGAAATACAGATACATAACAGTAAAAATGCTCATATCACATAGGAACTCTACAAGAGAAAAGGTGTGTCCTTTATGCCGTATGCTTCACTATTTTCATTTGTTCGATTAACAATTTAAGTATAAAGTTTAGATCACATTTCTTTAGTTTTCAGTTAAATATTCGCTACCAAACTAGATCATATTAATCTCATACCTATGTCTAAACATTTGAGAACCATTTTAAAAAACTACTACATACACAGAGAATGTTGAATTTCAGGACAATGAACCTGCTGATATCTAAATTTAGATCATTAAAACGATTACCAGAATAGAAAGCAAAATAAGGAGAAAATAATTCACGTCATACTTGTTCCTGTCCAACTTGAGTGGTTTACCTCGCATTGAACTAGACCAAAATCACAGATGCCATTTTCATTGATATTTATGATGGCATCACATGATTGTCCCAACTAGACGAAGGAGAAATTAAGGAATAGAGCAATGTCCAACACAACAATTTAGGCTTCGGAAAAAAGAATATACATTACGTAGAATTAACAAAGATTAAATATCAGAATTTTACATCAAGAAGCAAATAACTCAATTCTCTTCTCCACACGCTTAACACTATCAAACATTCGGAATCGGGCCGATGAAAGAAATAAAAGAATCAGCCAAGCAAATAAGTGATTAGGGACAGAGTCTAATACCAGTAAATGGCTTGCGTTTCACGGAAGGGTCGAGCTGATTACACCACCTAAGGCGACAAGACTTCCCCGATCGCCCAGCGATTCCCCGAGCAATCAAGCTCCAATTCCTCGCACCGAACTTGCTCACAAGGCGGCTGAGTATCGCATCCTCTTCAGGAGACCAAGGTCCCTTCAC